TAAGAAGGAATGAGGGAGTTTGTTGGATAGCTTGTGGTTGAAGAAAAGAGGGAGAAAAAAGGTCATGAAAGAGAGAAATGGTGAGTTGTTATATGTGTGGCCAGTTTTTAGAGCAAGCTGTAATTTGGTGGATGATATGAGCATTGATGATATTCAATGGTCTATTTTTAGCAAATTGCTAATTCTGTTTCTTTGAAAATTTAGACACAAAGCCAAAAATAAAATAACTCTGGTTCCCTATTTCAAGAAAAATCAAAAACTCGAACTGAAGCTCTAACCAGAATCATAACCTCACTATCAGTTTTTATCAAAGCAAGCAAATACGAATTAAGTGATTCCTAATAACTGTCCTGAAGCAAGAAAGTTATGAGAATCAATAAGTCAACGTACCGGCTAAGTTGATTTTGGCCCAGCAAAAGCGTTTCATTGCCACTCAAGTGACTCCAAAGCTTGGTGATGAATGTCTGGATCTCCTGCGGCCACTACATTAAAGCCTGTGACAGAAGAAAAAGTACATGTAGATGTTAAATTGTTCGACATTCAGGGGTCGAAGTGGTCATTTGTTTTGATGAGTTAGTGACTGAGAGCAAGAATATATGTAAGAAGAGCAAGAAACAGAGTTTTGTTGGAATATTGAACATACTTCTAGCAACTGCACTGGATGAAGCTTTCCACAGAAGTGAATTACCATTCCAATCGGTTATGGTACCTCCAGCGCCTTCTATCACGGGCACCAGAGCAAGGAAATCATATGGCTAGTGAAAAATAACATCAAATTCAATTAGTATGATGTGAATGTACAGCCCCGGTTGAAGATTGATACAATGAGGCATGTCCTTTTGACAAGATATGGTAGTGGTGTCATTCTTATGGACAACTTTTACCTTTAGACCAGATTCAATAACAAGATCCACAAATCCGGAAGCCAAGAGAGCGTAAGCATAACAATCACAGCCATACAATGGCATCTTCACCTGATACAATAATATTTCACAAGCCAGAACGGGAACTGAGTCATTTACTTGTGGCCAACATTGAGATGAAAAGTTACAGAAAAGAAAAGGGATTCAGAGGACCCCAGACAAAAATCAATTGGATAAGAAACCCAATTGAGATAATGATCATCGTGGGATATGCTATTCTGCAGAACTTCAAATTCTGATAAGGAGGAATCTAGGTTTCATTTGCCACTACTATGCTCCAAACGAGTAACAATCCCAAAATTAACTAAATCCTATGTAAGAATATATTAGACAAATAGATAAGGACCTTATCTCTAACTCGAGCAAATGCCTTTCCTGCCTCTTCACTGAAAAGATGTGGGCTAGTGGTGTATCTGGAAAGTCATAATATGAGGAGAGCAAATGTGAGATCTATGAGTATGGTCATGAGAATGGGACTTGCATCACATACATTTGTAGGCTTGAAAATCTAACTACAGAAGTAACAGGCTATTGAAGCTCAATGGACGCAAACTTACAAATATGCTTGTGATAGTTTTAGACAAGATCGCGTTGAGATCTCCTCCCCATTTAATTTAGTATTTCTTCCACTCATTCCTATCCATCTCTCTTTTAGAATAGGCTGATCAATTAGACCTAGGATCTGAAAGAGAAAACAAGGTCAGTTAGTAAGCCCAAATGCAAACTCCTCAGAATCATAGAAGTTCTCAACCGCTGTCGGATTAGCATGCTTAAATTCCTCTACAATTAACACAAAATATGTTAAATCCTAGCCAATATGAATTCCTCATCTGATCATTAGAATGTGCTAATAATGCCTATAGGACAAACATGGGAAGCTTGCAAGCAACAACAACTGAGTCTCGTGATCTTACCGGTTTACCTTTGTAGAGCAGAGTTATCAACGTACCAAACACAGGTTTCCCTGAGACAAAGCAGTTAATAGCAGAGTCAAATCCTCAAACTCTTAATAAGACAGTGAAAATGACAAAATATAAGGGCAAAGAGGGCACCTGTAATAAAGCTCTTTGTTCCGTCAATTGGGTCCAAAACCCAAACATAGTCTGCAGATTCCTCTTTGCATCTCCAACCCTTCTCTTCACCATATCTACAGTTTCAGCCCTTTACAATGTGAATAAAAGATGAAAACACGAACTGCTAAATGATGTGGAAAAAAGAGCAATGCAGTTTTCGTATCTATTCCTCTAGTGAAGCCTAAGGAAAGAAAGCAATCAATGTGTAATTAACTTGGAGGATAAAAGTCAAGTTATTCCTTGTGATCTAGCAGAGCATAGTTCAAGCATAAGAGACCATTTTTCAAAAACCAATATTCAAAGGAAACTCACATAGCATGATTAGGGAAATTCTGGAATATAATGGACACCATTGCCTCTTCAGCCATTTGATCAGCGACTGTAACAGGACCTAGAGATGAACCCAAATCAGAAAACACAAACAGAATTTGATTCTCATAAACTGCAATAAATTCACCAAACACTTGGTACTCAATCACCAATGACTCCGTATCAGTCTTTTTGGTCACCAAGCAAAGCAGAGCTTCATTGTACATTAGAGATTACCCAGGTCACTATGCTAGAAAATCAGAGATGCAATTATGACTTACTCATATCATCTTTATCGACGATATCGAATTTCTTCCGGAAATACTTTCTAATAACCTCCCCGGAAGCGTCAGCCAATGCATTCCCCACATCGGCGAATCGATCCAGCTCAGTGACACTCATTTCCGTCGGAAATTCTTCGTTTAGCGCTTGCCGTTTCGGGTTTGAAGCCATTATCGGGGAGATCCAGCAGCGAGAAATTGGAACAACTCCAGTAGAAGAAGATAGAAAAGAGAATCGACTGCTTCTAGAAGGAGAAGGAGATAGATGAAGAGAGCAAGTCGGAGACCGCAACACCGGAGACGGTGGCGGAATCAGATCGAAGGACTTTGAGAAAAAATGCGACTGAGCTAACATTGGGCGGTGTAGAGAGAAGTGACGAAGACAATGACGAAAAAAGGGTTTAAATAACGACGAGTATTATGCAATCTCGTCCGTTGGATCAGGTCAATCTTTAAGATAACTCAATCTTGGTTCGGTTACTCGCATACCGAACCGTAACATTCCACTCCGGTTATTAAATTAAACAACTATAGCAAAATGTTTTAACATTTGTCATGCATGAATGGATCAAAGAAAATTATAATACAAAGTTCTCAAAAACGAAAAGCAGACCATACCAAATGTTACGAGACCACGACTGTGATTACAAAATGTTGTAATTACTAATTATCAATCTAAATGTGGTGGCCAAAAAGTTTCTCCAAA